TTTTTTTAAGGTAGTTTATCAGGACTTCTGTCTTTTTTTTTGCTCTTTTCATCCTTTTCTTATTATGATAGAACTATATTTAGAATTTTTTTTTTTTTTTAATTAAATAGTTTTTTTTTTTGTTTTTTTTCCTAAATAGTATTGTTTTCTTTTATAGATATGGTATATTTTTTCTTCCTTTACAGAAAAGTAAGAGATAAACTATTCTGCTCAAATCCAGATAGAAAAAGTTTAGAAGAAAGGATAGATAGTCTTGACAGGCTAGTAAGAACCTTCTAGTAAAAGTTTATTTTTTTCAAGTATAGCAAAGAATATTTTGGAAAAGAATTCTGTCTATAGCAGGTTGTATATAAGTAATTTGAACTCTAGTTACAAAAAGCTGGGTAAGCTAATACTTGTAATTTAGATGGTATTAGGGTTTATATTTTTTGAAATTTTTAATATTTTACAGTATAATATTATAAAATCTAATAAAGTAGAAGCAAGACTGCCAAATTGATCAAAAAAAAAATATTGATATCATTATGATAAAGGAATTGAGATGAAAAGAATAAACATAAGGCAGAAATACCAAATATATTTAAAGATAAGTTATTTAAATTCAGATTATTTCTTGCTTAGTAATTTTGATATACAATTATCAATTTTTTTTAAAAAGTAGATTATTTAGATTTTTGAATTGTTATCAGCATAGAACTAGAGTTGAAAAAGCATATCAGCCAATTTGTAAATTTAAAATCTTTTATTTAGATTATCAAATTTAGATATATATATAAGTATTGACTAATTAAATTATATATTTATTATTTACTATATATACTATAAGATCTGTTTTTTATTGTTGTTATAAACTATATTTATACTATTTTTTGATTAAGTAAAAATATTTTTTGATTAGAAAAGTTGAACTTAAGAGTGACTATTTAACAAAGTTTCATAATAGATTATTATATAACTTACCAAAAGTTTTATATAATGCTTTGTTATTAATAAGATTGATTATGTAAAATTTATTGTTTTGACTAAATCTTTACAATTTAGGATTACAAAAATTTGGAGTACTTTGCAAATTGGCTATATGAATAGGCAATAATGTATTTACCTATTGTCAAAAATCTTATATATAATAGGATATTGAATATCGATATTATTATAATAAAGGAATTAGAGATAAAAAGATAAACATAAGGCAAAGTAGACTATTTAAATTTAGATTATTTCTTACTTAGTAATTTTGATGTACAATTATCAATTTTTTTTTAAGGTAGGTTATTCAAGTGGGTGGTGCTCATTTCACCAACAATCAGTTCACTGACACCTCAGTTCACCAACAATTAATTTATTGACAAGCTCATTTTACTAACAATTGATTCACCGACAAACATTTTACCAACATATTTATTTCGTCGACAGATATATTTCACCAACAATATATTTCACCAACAATACATTACACCAACAATACGTTACATCAACAAGTTTACAGCTGTTTTCATAAATTCTAGAACACCTAAAAAATTTGCCAATTATAATTTTGGCCAAGTTCAATAAGTTATTGATTTTAGTATGATCAGTATATTAATTACAGCTGTTTTTATAAATTTTGGGACAACTGATAAAAATTTTACTGAAATTACAGCTGTTTTTATAAATTCTGGGACATTTAAAAAAATTTGCTGATTTTGACCGAATTTGATAAGTTATTGATTTCAGAAATATGAGATACGTAATTTAATACAATCATGTGACTAATATATGTTACAATACAGTGACATGCATACTTGTTGACTTATTCATTTCATTTTGAAATATTGTGTAAAATTTCTTTGGCAAAATTTATTTTTGCTCAAACAAAGCCTCTATTCATTTTTATTTTTCTACAAATATTTGTTTTAAAAAATTGCATAAAATTTTAATTCCTAATTAATTTTCATCAAAATTTTGTTTTTAAAAAATTATGTAAAATTTCAATTCTTATTCTTTGGCAGGTTCTATTTTCATTCAAATTACAGTCAGAGATTTTTCCATATTTGGATAGCACCGATCACACTATTTATAGTGTTTAACTGCCGATCAGATGATTCTAGAATCTTTGTTACATGAAATATCATATGCCATAGCATAGGATAGTAACTTGTACATACATACGTACAGTACACTTTTTAGCTCTAAACGAACATAAAGTATTCATTTGTTAAAATCAATCTGCACCTAAAGATTTTCACTATAAGCGTTACTATTTATTGTTAGTACTAGCTATATTAACTATATGTAAGCTTTAAATGTGGTCAATGAAAAAGAGATTGAGACGTTATATGTAAGATTTAAAAGACTTTATTGTCAGCCTGCTTTTGTAATAAGATTTATTAATATTTATATTTTTACGTATTTTGAATACTATAGAGCTAAGCCATTAAATTATTTAGTATAACTTTGGGTTAGGTATTAGATTGATAATATATAAGTATTACTGTTCATTAATTATAAAACTAGAGTTTGGTGCCATATTTTTAAAAAGATTGCAATAGTTAAACCAGTAAATTAAAATTAAACTAATTTATTTTTATAAATAAAATTTTTAGTAATATTAGAATATTGACTTTAATATGAAAACAAGCTTCAAATAAAAGTCTTTACAAGTCTTTAAAAAAAAATTTTTTATGTATAATCTTGCCCAAGAGACTAATTTGTATCTATAGAAAGTAATTTAAATAAATTCATAAGTTAAAAGTGATAACTTAAAAAGCATAATGAAAATGGCAGTACTTACTAGATTTTATGTATATATGATCCCGTGAATATTTATGATTTGGGTATTATTATCGTTATAATGAAAATATTAGCTGGATAAAGATCTTTTGATAGTTGTAAGTAAACATTAATTCTATATGATGTCATTTAAGTAAGCTTTTAGTGAAATAATTGCCATAGAAGTGTATAGTACTAGATCTTGGATTTGGTCTATCTTTCTAATCGCTGATGAAGTTCTTAATAGAAACTGAACTCGAGTTAACTTGTAGCTTAAAAAACATAGTTTTAACTCGAATTAACTTGAGTCAAAACTATGTTTTTTAAGCTACGAGTTGACTCATATCCAGTTTCTAGTTTTTAATATCTCCTTTATAGGCTTACCAAATGACCAATAAACATTATTTAAATAAAAACAGCCCCAAAATTATAATTACCTATAATTAAAGTAGCTTATTTTAACCAATTAGTAAGTGATTTTTACATCATCAATACCAATAGTATGAAATTAGAATAACTCACTAAATTTGAATAGCCTATTATTCGAATGATTTATGCTTAACAACCTTAAATCTATAAAATTGAAAAGGTAATATATGAAGATTCGGTTAATAAATAATGCTTACAAACATGCAAAACAAGCATAGTAATATTGAGTCACAGTAATATTGAATAATATGTATAAAGTTTTTTGTTCAGTAATCTGTTTAGTTAGCAAAGATTGTGATGAAGTTTTTGGTTTTTGTGCACTAGTATTCCAAACAAACATAAAATCTTGCAAGTCTTTGAGTCTTATTTACTTGTTTGACGTGAGTTGATCAGCGCTGATTATTTTTGATTATTTAAACTACATGTTTTCTTCTATCTACTTATATGCCTATTCGTAAGGTTTAGTAAAAAATTTGGGGTATAAAAAATTACCGAAGAATGCTGACCAAAAGGTATATACGAACCAATCAAATCAGAAATCCAACATGTGGATCATTTTAGAATCAGATTTCCTAATTCAGTAAATCCCCTGACTGAATTATTCTTTGATGAAATTTGTTTTTAAAAAATTTTAATTTTAATTTTTTGACAAGATCCATTTTTATTTAAACAAAGCCTTTATTTATTTCTGATTATTTTTTGATGAAAATTAGTTTTAAAAAATTGTATAAAACTTTAATTCCTATTCTTTAGCAAGATCCATTTTCATTCAAATGAAAGTATTATTTATTTCTAATTATTTTTGTTTTTTGTCGATAAACTAAATTTTGGTTTTATTCTTGCAAGAACCATTTTCATTCAAATGAAGGCATTTATTTATTTATTTCTAATTTTTTTTCATTTTCTGTCAAAGATGAAAAATTTGTTTTTAAAAAATTAAACTAAATTTCGATTCCTATTCTTTGGCAAGATTCCATTTTCGTTCAAATGAAAGTATTTATTTATTTCTAATTATTTTTCGTTTCTTGTTGAAGACGAAAAATATATAAATAAATATAAACATAAAATTTTTTTATTTTAATTTCGTTTATCATAATTCTCAATAGATATTAATAATATCTTGTTACTTGGAATCCCAAGAATCATTTTTAAACTAGTTAACAAATTTCATAATTATATTTAACTTTTTTAATAGCAGCACAATATATTTGTTATAAAGTCTAGTTTATATTTGATTCCTTTTTATAGTTTTTTTTTATAAATTTTTGTATAAAATAAGCACACTAAACATGTTGGACAAGCATTCAAATAAAAATTTAAAATCGTTGATATCGTAAAATGATCATTATAATACTAATCATACCAAATAATAACTTATTAAATTCGGCCAAAATTATCATCAGCAAATTTTTTTAGGTCTCTTAAAATTTATAAAAACAGCTATAAACTTGTTGGTGAAACATATTGTCGATGTAATGTATTGTAGGTAAACCATATTGTCAGTGAAATGTATCTGTTAGCAAAACATATTGTTGGTAAAATGTATTGTTGATGTTGGTAAAATGATTGTCGGTAAATTAATTGTTGGTAAAATAAGCTTGTTGGCAAATTAATTGTTGGTAAACCGAGGTGTCAGTGAACTGATTGTTGGTAAAATGATATGTATCCTATTCAAGTTCTTGAATTGCTATTAGCATAGAACTAGAGTTGAAAAAGATAGGCAATAAAGCATATCTATTATCAAAAATCTAATACATAATAGGCCATCAATGTGATAAGTGATAAGGAGTAGAAGTTAGTTAGTAGATATTGTACTAGTGCTCCTACGGACCAGACCCGAACCAGACTTTAGTCAAGTCTGAGTAGGACCCCTGAATATACTGATTAGTATCTTGTTGTATGGAAGCATCAATTTTAAGAGAAAGTTCAACAGTTATTAGTATACGGAATAGAAATTTGGCCAAAAGCTCAAAGTACAGAATTTAGTAAACTAGTTTTTACCTCTACATACAGGTTTATAATAAATTTTACTACCATGTACAGATTTGTGATATATATTTACCTCTACGTACAGAATTCACTAGTCCAAATGAAAAAAATTATTATCATAGTTGAAACTATATTAATGGGCTGCTGAATATGCTAAATATATACTAGCAATTGTTAGTATTCTGCAAGCATAACTAGTATGAACTAATATTAATTTTTTTATTTGGACTAATGAAAGTAAAACAACTTCATTTTTTTTAAATTAATATGTAACATTGTTAGCAATTCAATTGCAACTATATAAAAAATCAATATAAGAAATCATTTGAATAGAATTTAGACTTTAATGAAAAAATTTCAGAATAGCATTGAAATCTAGATTTATAGTGTCTTGAAATTTTTTTTTTTTTATATAAAGTTCATTGTACTGAAATTATATATTAATAAAAATGTTTAATGTATGATTTTACATAAAACTAATGTATGGTGTATGAGTTTATAAATTTAGTTTGTACGGAAATGGTCATTGGTCGCGGAGGTTTAATTAATAGTACTATGCAGTATTCAGGGGCCCTGTCTAAGTCTGGTCTGATTTTCGGACCGGACTTAGACTTTTATATTCAGACTTTTTAGTCAAGTCTGAGTTTGGTCCGGGTCTGGTCCAAAGTCTGCAGACTAGTCTGAGTCCGAATATATTTATATGTATATTTGGTACTAACAAGTTAGTAGTTGGACCGTTAAACTCAAATATATTTAATTTTTTTTTATATCATATATCTTGCTAGTATATAAGACTTGTGGATATATTTGCTTGATCAATTCCAGTTTAATCTTATTATTAGCTTTTAGAATTTGTTTTTTGATTTTATTATTATTTTCCTGATCCATTTCATTTAGCTAACGTGTGCTTATTTCAATAATCTCTGTTGCAGTAGATCGCTTCTTTATCTATACATTTCATAGCTAATTTAATATAACAATCTGGTTCTAAACACAAGATCACCATTAAACAGAATTCCATCAAATGCTCTTTGTCATGTTGAAATCTCTGTTGTGATAACTCCAAAGCTATAAATATCTTATACTGGAGTGTATAGTTGTTCTACTAAAACCTTAAGTACTATATATGGCAGAATTCTACAAGTTTTTTTTTTTACATTTTTAGAAATTCCAAGGTTTGTAATATATGTATTATGCAAATTATCTTGCAAAATATTTCCACTATGTAAATCTGTAAACAAGTTCTTGCGAATGAATCGACTCCACATCCGAAGCTATATAGTACAAGATATTCAATTTATCTTTTCATTCTAGTTGTAATACTTGTAATATTTCCGCTGTGTAAATCTCTGTAAACAGGTTCTTGCGAATGAATCGACTCCAGATCCGAAGCTATACAGTACAAGATATTCAATTTATTTTTCCATTCTAGTTGTGATACTTGTACAAAATTTTGGTGCAATATTCCTTTTAATATATATTCCATAACAATAATGTTATCACCATGACCATTTCTTGATATTCCAATGCATTCCAAGAATAATGGATTCTTATAACCAATTTCACAATAATTCTTTAATTTGTAGATAAATTCTTGCTCGCTTTCGTTTAAATTATGAATTACTTTAAGTGCATTACTATTCCATATATTATTAACTCTATCGAACCATTCTGCATAAGCTTATTATAATTAATCCAAGCTAATTTAAATCTCCTATCATCTAATATTTTCTTAAGTTCTGAACTGATATGTCAGGTGATTCATTAGCAGATTTTTTTATAGTATTCAAATGCTTTATTATGATTTGACCAACTTACCAATATTATATTTTGCAGTGGCATTGCTCTAATTAGCAGATTTCTTACAATATTCAAATGATTTTTAGGAATTTATTTCTACTCCAATTCCATGGCGGTAACAAAGACTAACATTATTCATCACTGCCAAATTACCTATCTCGGCTAATAAATAGGTTACAAAATAACATAAGGAACTGTCGATGTTATACGATTGAACTTCACCTAGTGTGTACTATATAAAAAAATTAATTTACAATACCAGATCATTCTGCTAGTACATGTTATAATTATAATCCTACATCATTTTATTATAATAAAAATGAGATTATAATTATAACATATACTAGCAGAATGATTTGGTATTGTAAATTGATTTTTTTATATACTACATACCGGAAAAGGTTCAGTTATGTAGCATCAACAGTTCTTCTTGTTTTACAAAGTTAATGTTTATCTAAAGTGGTACAAAAGATATAGCTTATTGGACCACTAGGTTATCCAGATAATAATGGGTTCAAGCACTAGATCCAAAGTTCAAAAATAAATATATGCATGTGCAATAAATTCAGACTCAAACTAGTTTGCAGACTTTGGACCAGACCCATAATTAAGTTTGAGTCTGGTCTGAAGTTCGAAACTAGTGAAATTTCAAGTCTGAGTCTGGTTCGATCCCAGACCGGACCCAGACTGGACCTAGGAGCACTACATTGTATAGTAGTATATAAGCAGGATATATATAGAGGTGTCAATAGAAACCAAGCAAATTAAAAAATTTTTAAAATTTAGTTTTTATGCTTAACTAATATAAAAATTTGTAAAGAATATTTTTTACTTAATAATAACTCTTCGATTAATTAATAAAAATTTAAGATATTTATATTTAAACAATTTGGTTAAAAATTAATCATCCAATTATTATAGATCGGAAATAAATTATCTGATCTTGAAATACTGTCATATTTGCATATAACTTAAATAATTTCTTTAATAAGTGATCAATAGTAACCTAGCAAATTTGTCTAATAAATTTGCTTAGTTTCTATTGAACTGTATGTGTTAAATGATACTTTTGATCAAGGCTGCATAAGTGGCCAGATTGTCTATTATTGTTTATATGTTTGTATAACACAACACAAAAATCACATTATCTCAAAAACACTGATTTACCGATTTGCTTGGTTTCTATTGATGCCCCCCATATGATAAAATATAGATTTGGAAACATATCTTGTAATTTAAAAACTGGTATAAAATTTCATATAGCAGGTTACACATAGATAAGTAAATTAGTAACTAAGTAAACAAATATTTGTAATTAATATTAAATAGTTTTAATTATACTCATAATATTTGTAACCAAAAATATCTTAGCATAAATCTAATAAACAGTATTGGCAAGATTGCTGAATTAAAAAAAAAAAAAATACTATATAAAATATTAAAGCAAAGCTTTTACAATAAAAATATATAATATTCTATTTGTTATACAATTTTTTAAACCTTGCACAAGTGATAATAATGCTATAGTTAGATTTAGTCTAGACTTAATTTTTTTTTCTTTATTTTTATTTTTATTTTTTTATTTTTTTACTTTTTTTGGTTGTATTCTCTATATTTTGTTTTAATCTTTTTTCAATTCTTTAAACCCTTTTGAAGAAAAAATATTTTAAAAAAAGGCAAGCTAGCAATAAGTTTTTGGTGATTCAATATATATAGATCTAGTGAATTAGATCCCAAAGATAAAAGTATATATTGCTACAGCAGATCACATCTGGGCACTCTTGTAAGCAGCCGGGTAAGTCTTACATACTTATATATACAGTATAATGATTGCTATTTCCGTATAATTAAATTTTTTAAAGTGTAAAAATAGTAAACTTTTATAGCGATGAAGTAATAAACTCTACAGTCTAAAGGCAAACTTTTATTATATCTATATAGTAAATATAATCTAGCAAAGTTTTAGCCGCCACAAGTAAAATAAAAATTGTTCTATACTATTATGTGAAGAGAAAGCCGACACGTGATATGTTAAGAAGTATGTTACTTAACCAAAGAACGTTTCACTAGAACTAGGAAAATTGATGAAATATAAAATACGTACTGCAAAAATTAATAGTCAGTAATGTAATATAAATTATAATACAAAAAAAGATTAGAAGAGGATCGAACGATTTATTTTATTACGCTAGAAAGCTTACAAATAAATTACTCAATCCAATTAGTAAAAGCTTTTTATGTACAATGATGTATATATAGATTATATATATGCACATGTAAAATGCAAATACAACCACGAATTAACCATCGCCATCCTGAGCCACAACAGCGTCTAAAAGAATGTCTTTTTCTGTTCTTAGTCTTTTCAATTTCTTTTTGGTGGATTGATATTCATCTAAAAGTAATTCATTTTCTCTTCGAATATATCTATGTTTAGCTTTTAAAACGAGATACTTCTCGTAAAAAGATTTATCATTATCATCATCTGTTGAAGATACATCCGAAACTTCAGATACCGAAGTATCATCATCAGATGTGTAATTACGATTTGGATAAGAATTTTCAGACTGTTGACGTGAAGACGATTGTTGTCTTGGTCTTTCAGAAGGTTGACGAGAAGAATTCAATCTCTGTCGTGATATAATGTGATGTTGATTATTATTTAAACGCGGTTGCCTACTAGATTGAAGACTATGAGAAGTATGTGATTCATCATCATCATCTTCCGGAGACGTTGACAATTTTCGTTTTTTATATGTTCTTTGACCTTCTTCCATGATACGTTTCTTTCGTGGATCTACGTGTTGGCTCTTCATATGCTATAATAAAGTACGAATAATTTAACTAAAAAAGATTGGTCACTAGTTTAAATAGCAAAGATTAAATTAGCAAACGATACCTTGGTTAATGAGTCCGGTCGCGTAAAACTCTTTTCGCAACCTATTAATAAAAAGGTAAGAAAAATTTAATGCAATACAAAAAATGAGAAAAAAAGGTATAAGAGGAAAAAGATCTACCCGGCTCTTTACAATCGTACGGCTTCTCACCAGTGTGACTTCTTAAGTGAGTGATCAAAGCAAACCGTGAGGTTTGAGTAGCACCTTTTCTCGGACAACTATCCCACTCACAGGTATAATTTGCCTTTTTACGACCTACGTGGTCTAAACAAGAAAGAATAAATTAGAAAGAGAACGCGGAGAAGATAAAATTGTAAAGTAAGGAAAAGTGGTCACACTAGTTCAACAGTTCCTTCTATATCGGGGAAACTTGTTGGTAACCAGGTGTATCATAGGAGTATTTATAGGCTACCTTCGTGCAAATGGTTTACTAAGTCGTTTAAAAGTGTGAAGCTTGAAGAGCAATCATCCCATTTACATTTCAACAAACCTAAGTGACTTCCGACTGAAGGGAGAGAATTTTCACTATCACTAGTACTTATTAGAGAAGACATGAATATAATAAAAAGACCAAAACTTTATCCAAAATAGGTTGGAAACGAGTTTTTTTTTTTTTTTTTTTTATTGAAATGGAAGAAATAATAGATTTTAAAAAGTAAAAATGGATAACTTTTATATATCAGAGGGGGAATGAGGGGGAAATGACAAATTTTTTGTTGCAGCATGTTTGACAAAAGCGAGGATGTTTTCGGCCAGTGAAAATTGGGTTTTTGTGCGAGATGAAAACAAAACGCCTCGCTTATTGACGTCATTCTTTAATACCGATAATGGAAGTGGCGATGTGAGCATATAAAGTGTACAATGGTTGTCCTGCAGGCAACGCGGGTAGAGTTGAAAGGAGAGAAAGAGACATGAAAACGGAAGATTTGCGGCAGTGTGACATCAATTATTCATACAAGACATATCAAGACAACCCTCATTGTGACGTGACAAGTTTTTTTTCAAAATTTAAAATTACAAATATTTATTATAATGAATAGGCGCTGTTTATTTCAAACTTTAACATTGGGTGTAATTACTTCCAAATAAAATGGTTAATATTTTTATTACCTTTAAATTATTTCGAAAATATTGGTTTTTAAAGATGATATCGCACTGTGGCTTATTACTATAAGATCTTCGCTTTGATTTGCGCGCTTTAATTCGAAGATTCTTAGCCGCGTTTATGAATGATGAAAGCCACAAACTTGAAAACAGGGTTCATTCAATTCGTCGATTACCCACAACAGATCTTATTACGCTAATCTTACTAAATAAAGTTGACATTTTAATTTGTCCCACACGTATATGAAATCTTAGATGTAGTACATACTCGCATTGTAGTCGAATCGTTCTGCAAACATTCTTGTTCCTTTCCATTTATATAAATGGATCATCATACGTACGATTCAACATGTACGTACGTACGTACGTACGTATTTTATGTATATTATGTATATATATTATTATATAAAAAAAAAATCAAGACTTCCGATTTGATTATTCTATTTACATTATTATTATCGATGCAAATATGCTTTCTAACCAAATAAATATTACATATCTCAAATGAAAAATTTACAACCATTGCATCCAATTAACCTTGATAATGATAAATAAATACGATTAGCTAAATTCGCTGGTAATTATTTAAATAATTGTAAAAATGATACGCACTTCCATAGCGGCCAAGTTTTGTGTATTAGTCGCTGCCTTTATTAATTCTAATACTGAACTGTTCAACTTCAAATTATTAGGTGTCTGTTTAAATGTTAGACTAATTAATCTTATCACTTTTTTTTCATAAAATAAAATCAATGTTTTGCACATAATTTACCTTTTCCCGTTCTATATCAAAGCTTCCAATAGCTTGTGCCTTATTGACAATCTGATCCACATTTAACGCTACTTTTTGTCGAAGATTTTGTTCATTAACGGGTCTTTGGATCATGTAATGCCAAGTAATTAGTTCATCTCGGATAAATATGCCCAGATATTGTCCCAAATCAAACTTATAAAATTTGTTATTGAATATATTAGCATTTGGATTTATTTAATTATTTAAATTAACTAGGAAATCTTACTTCAGGTTCGGTTAGACAGCGGCCAATTGCCATCAAAGCTATTCATATATTAAATGTTGTGAATATAAATTAATATTTACAGTTCGAATCGTATTCAATTCATGGATAATAAATAAACTTAAACCATACCTGAGCTGAAAACACCTTCGATACCAATTGGTGTCATAAAGTGTTGTAGACCGCGCGTAAATCTGAACGGCACCGCTTCACTATTGTGCAACATTGGCACATTCGGTGTAAACGCTAATACGTTTATTTAAAATTAGATAAATTCATCTCAATTGAAATGACTCCATATGAAATAAATGATATACCAGGAAGTAATTCAGTCATCCAAATGTTGCCAGTATTCCGCGAAATCATAAATTTATGGGGATATCTTTGATTAATAGACATAATGTTTGTCATAAAAGATACAGCAGCCATTTGGGAAGTGAATCGTTTTCTTATTGTCCAAAGATCTTCATGTGATTTCATTGTCTTTGTCATAAACTATTTTAAATAATTAAGTCAGTATGGTGTAAGCAAGCAAATTATTTAAGATCAACTAACTTTTGTAAGTATGTCACTTGGAATAAATTTAGACGCAATTTGCTCAGCAACTTCGACTCTCAAATTTGTCAGGTCTTTGACCTACAATGTATTATATTAAAAAATAATTGAGCTTAATATTTTCAGCACGATGATAAGTTATAATATATAATCTTATTACCATCCGAGCATCTCGATTGTTGGCTCTCATTTTGTTAGTGTAGTAGATTATTGCTTCATCTTTGGAAATTCCAGTAACATCGCAATGATCTTCATAAACCTCTTGCAATGAACAATATGAAGGATCGTCCTGAACTATCCTAATCTGAGGTCCTAATGGAATAATTAAAGGAAGGTGGAAGGAAATATTACGTTTACGACTCTCTTTGCGACGTTCCAACACGCTAAACATTTAAAAATATTATTAGCAAAGCAATAATGCATTAATAATTACGTTAATAAATTGTAAACAACTTACGTATTTAGTATCCTAAAAAGTTGAATTATTCGCTCTTCACGACGGCTTTGTCTTGCTGACGGGAGCTGAACGGCAAAAGGATGAAGACTCCCATCGTGTCCACGTATGGTAAGCCTTCTGTAACAGATCCCATGTGATCTAATAACTTCGACTTCCGGCATAAATCGATCAATACGAACAAATTCAGTATTATTGTGAAATTTATGCTGATCAAAAAAAAAAAAACCCCCCGAGTAAGCAAAACGCTAAACATTAATAAATAAATATACAAAATTACTATAAACCTTACCAATAAGTACTGTCCTGGAACTTCAACTTCTTCAAACTTTTGATGCTGAAATTCAACTAGATACGGACTGAAATGTTCCAAATGCTGTGTTCGAGGCTTACTGTCCAAAACAATTTCAAATCGATCTCTCCACTTGCGGAGTGTTTCGACGTATTGCGCCAAGTTCGGCTCTTTTGTAATAAAGTCATCTACAAATGCTGTCTATTAAATAAAATTAAAAAAAATTAAAAAAAATTGCATGTAGGAATATGTTATAAAATGCTAGAAAACACAGAAAAAACCTTAATAGCTCCAGGTAATAGATTTTCTGCAAATCGTTTAATATTCGTCTCAATCACCGGGGTTAGCTTACCATCATCAGTAGGATAATTTAATCGGTTAATGATTTGCTATGATAAAGCATTAATTTAAATTTAAGGTCTATAGAGATGCTTTAATAAAGAAAAGAAAATAATTGGTAATACCTGCACTCCGTCATTTAATAACGCAACAATCAAACGGTAAATGTCTTCGTCAGATGATGGTTTTAAACGTTGTTGAATCTGGTCCACCATAGTTTCGATCGATAAAGCAAGCAATGGAAATGATGTTTTTAAAATTGACATTACATCTTCAATATGTTCCCATGGTTGCTTCGATACTTGCTGAGACTGAGGTGTATGTGCAAGATTTTGTAACGTATGATGATTACTCATTCCAACAGGAGTAATAGGAGATCGTCCATGCTCAATGTTGTTAGTTGGAGTTGAAGGATGAAGATTCTGAGATACATTTGTGGGAGTGATAGACGTATTATGTATTATTCCGTTCGTTGGTGTAGTAGGTACATGGCCACTTAAAGGCGTACCCGGTACACTTGAGGACATTCCATTATGAACTCCATTCATACTTTGCATGTTTTGTGTTGAAGTATTAGGCAATGGTGTCGGCATATGACTAATTGATCCATTAATAACATTATTACCATTATTTCCCATTTGAATCGCAGGACTTTGCGGAGTTTGTGATGGCATGGGACTTGATTGTGAAAAGTTTATTGCTTGAGGGCTCATTTGATCAGAGCTTGCTTGACTAGGGCTCGATTGTTCTGGGCTCACTTGTAATGATCTGTGGCCGTTTCCATTAACAATTACGTTTGTATTTAATTGCACCCCTTCGTTACCGGTAACGGACGGGGGCATTGATGTTAAAGGAGCTCCTGATGTATTAACAACAGAAGATGAAATCTGTCCAGCGCGTGCTTGTGCCTGTTGGACTGCCAGGGCAGCAGCCTGCTTTTTAATCAGCATGGATTCTTCTCGTGCTGTTCGTAATTGGAAGTGCAAAGCCTATTTAAAAATAACAGTTTAATGAAATGTAACGGATATTTTTTTTTAAATAACAAAAAATTAACAATAGGGTCATAGATTACCTGAGGATACTGTTTGGCGATCTTCATAAGAATTGTACGCGCATGCCTTGCTTCTTTATGCAATAGACAAGCAATAAGTTGTGGTATGAAAGTTATCCAGTACCATACCGGAACTTCACTCTTACTATTATAAGTTTCAAATACTCGAGAAATATGTCCCTTATCATCATCAATTGACAAAAGCCATAAAATACGAACAAGCAACTTTCTAGATTTGGGACTATTATAAAGGCCAGCTGCTTGTAAATAACAACTTAAAGCATTAGCAGCAAAAGTCGTTTCATCAGGATTTGATTTAAATTTATTATCATAATAATGTCCCCATGCAGCCCAGGCTTTAGGAAGGCGCATATCCACTTGCACGGCTCGTGAAAAACTATCATTAGCCTCATGGTCTCGACTCAATTTGGCCTGTATCATTCCGCGTAAAGTATGAAATTCAGCCTTTTGTTGAGACCCAAAATAATTAAGATTAGTATTGTTTATAACATCCAGAGCATTAGCTACATCATTTGGATTTTGATAATGACATTTAGTTTGCTCTGTTAGCTTCAAAAATGCCTCTTGTATTTCAATGTTCGGTAAATTATAAATTAGTTGTAAGAAATTGATGCACACTTCAGAAAGCTGATGCTTTCTTGCAACATGTGCGAATCTATTTATGGTCCATGCTGTTTCGTGGTGTCCACGGAATGGATAATTGGTATTGGCCATAGTATTAGTTGTGTTCTGGGCCTGAAATTGTGCAAATGATTTATTTATTACATTAAAAACATGACGTCTCCATGCCACAATATCACTCCACACATTTATATCGTCCCACATATTTGGCAACCGCTCTCGCCAGCTTTGCAATACACTCTTTAATTCACTAGCTTTAGTATCAGCGTTTTGATGATTAATATCTGCTAAGGACGAAAACATTCTTGTAGCATCATCAAATTCAACCAAGAGTTGGAATGAGTGGAGTAAGGGAATATGGCTCTGTGAAACTACGTTTGGAAGTGTATGCCATTTGCGTAAAGATGATTGATGGGCTTCTTCTGAAATTTTTTTAAAATCTTCATAATTGTTCGTTTGTTGAGATTTCATTAAATTCATGAATGCTTCAAACATTTTTTCGTCTCGAATTTTGATGTGAATCTGAAAATACTTGTATATTTTGTTCGAAAATCTCTTTCTCCGTAGACCATTCTATTAAACGAAAAGCGCTCTCAAACATTAAATCTATATTGTTCTCATTTTTTGAAAAGTCAATGAGAATGTCCCACTGTTGCAACTTTTGGGAGCACATGACCCAATGATCTTCCCACAGCAAATATTCTGACTCAGTACATGGAGAACCCAACGCTCTTGATTTTGTTTGCGCAGTTTCATATGCAAGCAACGCTTGTGTCCAGTTTCCACACTGTTCGTATGATATTGCAGAATGTGTTTCTGCAAATTTACATCGTCTTTTCCACAAACCGTAGAACATATCATCCTCTGATAGGGTTGAATACAGATCAGCCAGTGCATCTAAAATGCTTTCTTTAAATTTATCGTCTTCTTTGATTCCCTCATAAGTGGTCTGGAGAATTTCCATAGATGTATGCCAAGCACCATGAGATTTTCCAAGAAATTTTACCAAATGTGGTGGTAGTCTGATGGTAGGTGAACAACGAGATATACCATCCAATAACGCTTGTATGCAATTAGGTCTTAAGTCCGATTGTGCTGCATGATAATCTTTTGATAAGAGCGCTATCAAATTATTAGATAAATCTTGCCTTTCCTTAGACGGAATGGAGGCCCAACAAAAGGGAAAAAGGCCTACCCACAGTTTATATGCTAAATTATCATCCAAATAGTGTAGCTGTTTTAAATATGGTAATAGATCACCGACACGGAATTTTTTCAGGTCGCGCAAAAATTCTCGATGTTTTATTAAAAAGTCATCCAATTCTTTGCTAGGAGCCAATGACTGTAAATTCGAAGACCCACCAAGAGTTGCGATAGACTTTGTTTGTAAACTGTATATTGGTGGCTGAACCCTTTTCTTAGACGAAACAGAACCTAAAAGAACATCTAAGGCTTGATGAAGCCAAAAATAGTCCGATAAAAATTCCCAATTTTGTTCTGATATTATATACGAGAGACGCGTCGACAACATTCGAGCCATACTTTGATCAAATATATCCATAAATTTATTTCTAATTTTGGGATTATTATAGCGAGTGCCAATTAAAAATGCTTTTTCTAACTTTACTGTCATCTCAGATCTAGTGAAAGAAGTATCACTATATATAGAGATAACGAGATTCAAAAAATCCTCAATTAAAGTCTTATCGTCTAAAGATTCGAAACATAACATTTTAACTAGTATGTCTGATTTTTCCTCTAGAGTAGGAAAGGGCTCCAATTTACTATTAACCCACTCTTTAGCCATTTCAAAAATAGTTCGTGAAAGCACATAATCATTAGTTTTCTCTATTAATTGGGAAAGTGCTGCAAGAAAAATAGGTCTTGGCTCGGTCAACTCCAAAATTCGTGAGTTCACAAGTTGCAACGCCATTATAAGAACATTTGTTGGAGAATCAGGAGGATGTGCACCATTTAAATTACTACTACTGGTGGAAGTATTCGGCTGTGAAGTAGTAACATCTTTGGTGAGTTTTTGTATAACTTGAATAATTCCTGTTAGAAAAGGATCAAGGTTCTTTGGAGTATTGCAACCCACTGACTTTAATAACATCATTGCAGTATATAGATTATTTGTGTTCATATTTTGAAGGCCTTCTTGAATTGTAGTATGGATAATTTTGATAAAATTTTCAACTTCAGAATCAGGTGAGGATGGCTGCTCGGGATTTAAAGGAGCAGCTTCCTCAAATGGTGGTGGAGCCAAAGATTTATATATATGAACAAGTACCGGATGGAGACACTCTTGGATTCTTACTTGCGTGCTTCCGATACTAGTCTCCAATAACTGTTGAAGATGGACAATATTTGCAAGACACCAATCTGCTGGCTTTCTTTCAAGTATTACATTTAAAACCTCCAAACTATTGCATACACTATTAAGTATGTTTTGACTAATCTCTGTATATTTAAGAGTTCTTTCAAAAGCAGAAAGTTTCACATTAACCTCAGGCCAAAAGTCAGGAAGCAAAAATTCTTTTATTAATTCTAAAGCTCGGCGAGCCAAACCAGATTTACTGACTGATTCGCTAGAGGTGCACACAAATCGAGTAAGATATCCGACCACACTTTCTCGTAAATTTATATTCGGAATATATTTTTGGTTTGGTTCTGCAACAATACTCCTATATTCGCCACCATGTTCAATCACTATTCGTTTACGTGGAGAATATTCTGGTTCTGAGTCAATGCGACGTTTGTCTGGTGTCATAGCAGGGGTTGATGATGCACTTGATTGCTCTGGGATGCGATTTTCAGAAATTCTACGCTTTTCCCATTTTAAAATTAATTCAGAGAGATCTATGGTCAGAAGTCGAGTCTCAGCAGTAGCGCTTTGAAGTAATCCTAATCTTGTCAATGTATTCGCAATCTGGGATATAAAATGTTCTCTGTGTTCATAAAACAAATCAGGGTGCCGCACTAACAATTGGTAAACATTGACCAATTGAGAAACGCTGTACCCATCTTCTAATAAAACTTTTTTTGCATATTGAATCCAGCTTGGAGTTGGAGCTTTTTTATTTTTGGAATCTTTTTTAGACTCATCAAAAGATTCCTTAGACGGAAGTGGATGCGGTGTCTTTAATTTTGGAAGCACTGGTGCAAGAATATCTAAAGCTTGTTTTACTAATGTTCTTGCTTCTAGCTGATGTGCTCTTAAAAGTGCAAAATAAGATTGGACTAGGATTTTTGAATTAACTGAATCAAATTCCGCAAAGATCTGAGCCAAAAAGACAAATGCCGTTTGTTTAGCAGTTATATCATCAGCTCTAGACCAAGTCCAACCAATTTTTGCAAGGTCACTTCGTGTACTAATAAGATGTGGTACGCGTTGCACGAGAAGTGTTGAAAATTGTAAAACCTCAATACGTAATGAATCCTCAATTTCATCATGAGTTTCAGCCAGGTAACGCCAAATATTTTGGATCTTATCCATTTGGGCAGTCCCAACGATCTGTTCATATTCTTGCCCTTTGGCAAATGTATACAAAAGCATTGGAGTAATAATAACCTTTAAAGATTGCATTTTAACGCTAGCAGGAATAAAAGAATCAATGAAACTATCTAAAAACTTGTCAAGAATAGCTCTTTTCTGTGTTACACTATATTTCATTGCAACTTCTTCTTGATAGAATTTTTTTAAGAATGTATAGTCGATTACACTTTCATAAGAAAATATAGTTACTAATTCAAATAGCAAATCAATATCATTTGGATTTTCTTTCAAATAACAGATGAATATCTCAACAAGGTACTTGGATTCACGACATTGAGATAAGCTTAAAGTGTCTTCTCGTTTCAATCTTTCCAGGCGTCCCGGATCATTCCATGCTTCTTTGAGGCATTTAAGAATAGGTTCGGAAGAGGGTTCAACCAACCAAGTAGGATGAAAGCTTATAATCTCCCGAATAATAACAATTCTCTGAAATTTCACCTCATCAGAGATATCTGAGTCCTGAATATTCGAAGTTTTATCAATTAACTGTGATGGATCAGCCATAATGTCTTTTCGGAGTTGAATAGCTTCATCAGTTCCCAAGATATTTATAAATAAACGAATAAATTTATCATTGCCAATTTTATTGTAAAAGTAATCAATAGCATTAGTCGAATAACGGTTCAAAAATTTGATAAGAGGCAAACGAAAAGGGCTGGACATAGAACGACGTAGTTGTTCCTCAAGTTCTAAGACAATGGCGACTAGATCTTCTAAAAAGACGAAGGCGGCTGAAGGTAAAAGATGAAACACATTTAATATTGCAACTATAATTTTGATAGGTTCGATTTCGATAAGCGGCTTGGATGCTGCATCTTGCAGAACTGATGGATCAGCCCATTGACGAAGGTGGTCAAGCAATTTTCTCCCAATTTCAACCTTAAAATAATTTGTGAGTAATTCAAGAAGTCTAGCTAAGCCTTCAAGGCCTGGCACAGTTAGTTTCTTGTGATCTGAAAGATTGACTAAAATAGGTCTCAAACCAGCCTGTAAAAGATCTTTAGGAAGTTTGTGCTGTTGTTGAAGAACTTGTTGAAGCCCTTTATTTGCAACATCCACGACCTCTGGTGCTTTTGAATATAATGATTTGAAAAAAACCCCAATTATACGAGTCCGAGTAGCAACTGCAGTGGCTTGCGGAAAGGAATCGGAACGCATCATAGATGCAGATAAAAATTTAATACAAACTATCCTAAGATTAATCACAGCTGTAGATACTTTATATTGTGTTGAACGACTAGTTAAAACTTGATCATCAGCATCTACAAGTGCCAAAGCCTCATTCAAAAGTCTAACAAGCTCTTCATTATTGCTAAAATCTAATAAAGGAGGCTGTAATGTCAAACAATATGTAATTGCATCAATATGCCCAATTTGCATTGGAGTAGGGTGTGCACGAAGCGGTTTACCGAAAATGGGACTAAGCAATGTATCTCGTGCGCGGGAAAGTAAGTAAGTAACATCACATTTTGTCAGATCGGCTATTATTTGAAATGATTGTTGTACTGTGTCTCTTACTGCAGCATTTGCATTAGACAATTCTGAAGTTAGTAGATTAATGAGCTTGTCAAATTTAGTTTGTTTTTCACGTTCACTCTCGTCTTTTGAATCGGTCATTTCGACATCACCATGGCTTTCTGATTGTTCTTGCTGATTGCAAACTGTTAACACGTGTAAGAGTGTCTGAGAAGCATTCTCAACATAACCTGCTGCAAACTCTGGCGACATATCTTTTAAAATAAAAAGTAATGATCTGACAAATTCCAATTCATGCTCTAGCATCCATTGAGTACCCATGTCAAGTTTAGAACTGAGAATCGAAATGCCTGTGCAGCCCCCATCCTTGCGAAACCATTCCTGCTTATAGCAACAAGAACAAAAACGAGATGCCAATACGTGAAACAATGGGAAACGAATAAGAGCGTCCTTAGATCCAGTAATGATAACACATGTCTCATATATTAAAATTAAAGCAGTCTCGGCGAGATCACTAAGTTGAGAATTCTCAGACGTTATAACCTCTACCAAAGCCTCTACCATTACTTTAGTCTCCAAATTATATTGCTTTGCGTTATTGTTAAAATCAAATCTTTTTTCTCTTGTGTAACGATGATTTAGGGCTTCACTAACTTCTAATAGAGCAAAATGCCGACAAATATTTTCAAGAAATGGCCATGCCTGCTCTTTGAGATCGGGCAATGATGACGCTACAAAAAGCGAACATATCACACTTTGTAGTGTTTCTTCTTGCACGACCTTTCTCCTTAATATTTGTTTGTGACCTTCTTTGCTGGGCATTTTATTTATTGAAAGTTCACGAAATTCGCTTGTTACATTTGGAATATCGCCATGAGTATTTTCCGTGCTTGATGGAATTATTTCCATGTCATCTCCATCATTATTTTGTAGCAACTGCTGTTGAACCCTTACTGCTATTGAGACAGCAAGATCTTCTGGCCCTTCGTCTAAATCAATAAACAAGGGAATAGTAGCAATCAAAAATTTGTACGCATTTTTTTTATAAAAAAGTGTAGTGTTAGGATCTTGTAATACTCTTGCAGCAAGTGATAAATTTTCGTCTAATGATAAATTATGCGGATTTATATGTGGCTCAAAATAAATCTGCAAATCAATTCCGGTCAATGGTGGTGCATGAGAGTTAAGTTGCGCAGGTTCTTTGAGCATACGTCGATTTCGTCCTCCTAGTTTACCTAAAATTCGCATAGCGACGTGACTGTGTGCATTGCTATACGGTGTTGGTTTAAGATGTTTCCAAAGCGCATTCATAAGATCATTAATAACTGGAGCCATGATTGGATCCAAAAACTCAGGTGTTAGATTGTCAATGCAGAGTTCCAAAGTCCGAAGGCCCTGCGTGACTAATTCCGGACCTGCCTGTAAAGCCAAAACGAGGGGTTTCATTAAATAACTAAGGAAAGGAAGAAGCACGCTAAGTCTCACAGGCACAGTAAGACAGAGCTCAACAAATAAATCTCGCATGCGTTGCTTATGTATTAACGATAATAATGAGTTGAGCCCTTCCAGAAGCACTTGTAGCAACGGAAAAACTTCTTTATACAATGTTTCAAATCTACCACCACCAATACTTCTAAAAAGTGCTCTAAGCAGCAAAAAATAATTTATTGGTTCCTTAGCTTTTGCAGAAAGCTTCATTGATGACGTAATAATGTTTGCAAGATGTGGATGAAGCACACTTTCATTATGATTTGGAAATAATGTCACAGCCATGAATGCTAGCTTAAACAACCGAAGCATTACAGATGCATATAAAGGATCGGGACCCCCAAGCTTGTCTAGCCTATCCACAAGAAATCTTAGTAGAATTCCGGCAAAACTTTGAGATATTATGTCGTTATGTGCTAAAAAATACTGAGGTATTTGAAGAAGAGAAGTATTTTGTAACATTTGATCGAAAAAAAAATTCATTTGTGAGGCAAAAATTTCTTGAAATATAGCGGGATCAACCATTACAAAAGCAGATCCAAAATGTTCAAGTGCTTCCTTTTCGACTTTCGAATATGGACCAATTCTACTTGGGATCTCTATAGGTAACTTATCAGAATATTTTGCTTGAGGCGCATCCATATTATCGACGTTAAAATAATCAAAGCAACGTACACCCTCTCGAAATAAACGAATAAAAATATCTATTTGTTCTTGAGTAAATCCACGAGCAACTGAATTGTATTGTTGAGCAGTGGTCTTTGAATTGTTTGGAGATGGTGGATTGCACTCTTTTAACCATTGAATGATCGGTTTAAGACCAGTAACTAGATTTCTGAATAAAAATCTTCCGTCTAAATATAAAGAAAATAACATTATATAAAAAGGAAAAAAAAAATTCTATAAACACATTTAATTGACACTTGCATACCGTTTATAGCATCGTGTTGAAGTTCACTAGGCGTAGATGTATTAATCGGACGCGCTTGTTCAAAATCAAAATCATCAATTTTTTCTGTCATACTTAAATCGCTGGTAGCGGCAACCTTCTTCTTCCGCTGTTGTCGCTGAATATCATCGAATACCAAATTCAAAGTTACAAATTTGTTGGCAAAAGTGTCCAAAATTTTGATTAACAAATCTCTAGCTATAAATTTTATTATAAAAAATGAGTAAAATATTGCAGTAATTAGGGTTTGGAACCGTTTAACCGCATAAAAATTTTTATAGTGCCGGGCCGAATTATGTTTATCACGGGCCAGGACAATTTTAATGCCGGCTGAATTAGACGGTTAATACGGTTAGACGGTTAATACGGTTAAACGGTTAAAAAATTTTAAACGGTTCCAACCCTTAGCAGTAATTACGAAAATATTATGATAATTAATAAACCTTCGTCTTTGCCATCTTTCTTAGGAATCTTCACAATACATTCAGTCAAATTTAGTAAAAGTTTAGAGCACATAGTTTGGATACTAGCAGCCAAAGTTGGATCGTGCAAATTACGTGAATAAATATAGACTGTTCTTGAAAGTTGAGCTGGCGAAAGTTCATTCCGTACATGATGAACAAGGTCTGCCAACATACTATACGCTAAAGGCCTATTAACAAAGCGTATTGAAGCTTTAATATTGTATTATGAATCAATAGAATATGCGAAATGAAAGCATTTTTGAAGTTACCGAAGAGTATCATGAGCTGTAACTCCACTACCAATTAACACTTTCTCATTGAGAAGAATATCAATTTTGCTTACAAATGCGGAACGAAAATCGGTTGAGAGAATGTGTCGGGTCGCGACCAACAATTCCTGTCATACCAAATTAGTTAAGATCAACGAATAAACACGTGATAAATATGGTTTACAGCATGATTAAAAATCCTGGTTGGCTGTCAATCCTTAAAGTTTTGTTGGCTGCTTAGGGTAAACGAAACAATCGATCATATGAAAGGTCGCCAACGAATTTGATTATGTCAGATTAAATTTGCCAGAAACAAGTAGCGTTGGAGAACAGAATTTCTTTAGAGTTTCGTCAGCTGTTTATTATAATTTTATTAATTTCAAATAGCAAGTAGTAAATTTATATAATGAACAGCTAACAAAACTTTAAAGAAATTTTGTTCTCCAACGTTACATGCCTCTGGCAAATTTAATCCGATATAAATCAGATTCGTTGGCGACTTTTCATATGATCGATTGTATTTTCATATAGGGCGTTTACCCTAAGCAGCCAATAAAAATTCAAGGATCGACAGCCAATCATAATCATGCTGTGGTTTACGAGATTCGACAAATAATCACCTTTCTAGTTGCGGAGGCTTCAGGCGGACAATCTTGAAGTAATCGTATGACAAAATCAGGTATCATGCTTTGGTATTCTTGTAACGCTGTAGTGTATGCACGAAGAACGTATGCCAAAAAAGACATTGTCTATGTATATCGAGAAATATAAAAAATTATGAAGTAAATGATAAAATGAAAAATGGTTATAAAATAGCTTAAACGTACTTTAACTTGAGCTATAATGAATTCTGTATATTTTGCACGATCTCTAATTCCCGGTGCAACACCGACGTATATTTCGCCTCTAGCTCTAGCAGCCTCTTGTGCTTCGGCTTGGGGACGAGCCTGTAGCCCCAATGTCTATTTAAATTAATATAATTTATATCATTTTCACAATTATGTTAAAATATGCAGCTAATGTTTATAAATCCTATAATTACTATTTTCGTAACATACTTTAATAATGAGTGGAACGAAATTTCCAATATTGTCATTCACAAAATGTCTGTGGGATTGAAAAAGTAATACTACAATGATAGGGCATTCGGTCAGGACTTTAAAGCTGTGTAAGCTTCCAGCTAAAACTTTATTAGGAGTAGTTTCATTTGTTGTAACATCCGAGACAGGTGACGATGGACGTGAAGAAGGAGGCACAAGTACTATTGGCTGAACTGGCTGAATGACACGTAAAAACGCGAGGAAAATAATTTCGTGAGCCCAATAATTATACGATCGAAATGTTCTCACTTTAAGACGCGAACATACTTATTTTTATCGTACTTACAGTGCCAACGTTTGGAGTTGCAGCAATTCCTGGTGAATCAAAAGAATCTTTTACTGTTTGCTCCATATTCTTATACATTTCTTGTACAATGTCTAGGAAAGGCTGGACCAGATCCCCCAACTGATGCTTATAACTTCGGTGCAGATCTATAATAATTTTTAAGCAGATAACCGCGTTATCCTCATTTTCTTTCTTTAACAGTTCCATTAGTGTTGTCAAAAGTTTAGAGGCATATGGTAGAAGCGAATCGTTTTGAGGCAACCGATGTAGTATTTCTAAATATAAATTTCGCAATTTCTATATTAAAAAAAAAAAAATAATAATAAAAATAAAGAAAAAAGGGGAAAGAAAAGAGAAAAAAATGAATAATAAAGGAATCAGTTAACAGTTAAAGAGTATATACAGTGTTTATATACCTGTTCTTCGGAATTGTTATCGAAAACGGGCTGTTCTTCTATTAACATTTTCGTTAACACGGGCATTAAAGCTTGAAGAAAACGGTTATAATCTGCATTTTGATAAACTTCGACGGAATCTCTGAGATTCATAGCAATCGATAGTTTTGTTTTAAATGCTAAAATATATCGATCAAGAAAATTATATCATATTAGCAAGATCAGTAAACACTCAAAAGAAACAAGCAATGTCAATATTTAAGAGAAACTAATGTTGCATACATATGTTATGATCAACTAATCTCAATGCATATAATTCAGGAGTGGAAAGCTCGGAACCGGCCATATTAATTGATAGAAAAGATAGTAGTAATAATATATTCACTTTAAGCCTAAGAGAAATCGTCGAAGAATAATGTTCAAAATAACGACAATGATACGTAAAGAAGCCCCGTTTGGAGTATTAAAAAAGGTGTCCAGAACAGAATATAATCAAGGATGAACGCAAAAACAAAGATTTCGGAAAGTGACTTATATATGTGGTAAAATTTCCTACGTAGCTATGAAAATTTGGGGGGATACTAGTCAGAAATTCAATTCTACGTCATTGATTTTGCCAAATTAAAGCCTTGTCACATGTTAATGTGATCGATAGCACAAAATTTACTTTACTGCTCCCTCGCTTATTTAAAATAAACGAGATTTATCAAAAACGTAATTTTACTCGATAGTGGTTAAAGTGTTACTTACCACGTGATGTGACAAAATTTATTTGATCAGTTCAATAAAAATACGCACCCAAACCTAATCTTTCTCTTATATCACCTAACCATGTCCACAACTCAACCTTCAACTGCCGATCCAAGACGTCCTAATAATGTTGTTAATTATCATACACCGAAAAAAGAATTAGATGAAATTGATCCTGATTTTTACGGAGTAGTATCACTTCTTTTAAGTGCGTTTTCCTACTGATTTATTTACACAGGCCTACAATGGATTTTTGAATTTTTTATTAATAAATATATATAAAAGAAAATTTTACACATCGTATAAAAGTTTTTATTTAAATATTAACCTTCCTTTTTTTTTTTACCAAATTAAATTAATTACGCTTTTTAAAAATAATTCTTTTTAGGTCTACAAAATTTTTATAAGCCCATTTTCTAATCGAGAAGTTGACCCTAAAAATATATAAAATTTACATTTTACATGAGAAACTTTTTAGTCAACTTCTTTATTATATAAAAATTTGTAGACCTAAAAAGAATTATTTTTAAAAAGCGTAATTAATTTAATTTAATGATAAAAAAAGAGGAAGCCTATTATACGATGCGTAATTTTTCTTTTTTATATATTTATTGTCGGGGATGATGCTGAAATTTGAACTTATTTTAATAAGAAATTTTAAAAATTTTTTGGGGTGTTTTTGTGTTTTTCTAGATTTTTTTTTATGGTTGGATTAGGATTTAGAGTTAGGGTTTATAATTATAGAGTATAGGTGGGTTTTAGTAGAATTTATATTTTTAAATAGAGAGAGACCTTAAATTTCAGCATCATCCCCGGCATTTATTAATAAAAAAGAGATCAGTCAGGTAATTTATTGTCGGCCTGTATATGATAGTGTGTAATTGTCCAATAATGCAAAATTCAAACCTTAATTTTATAGGTACAGTTGGTCTAATTATGAAGGTAATTAGAAACCGGCGTTCATTATGGTTATATTTATCCATGCTAACATCATAACTTTTGTATTTAAAGATTAAATGGTCATCGTGGGTTGCTTTAGCATTCTCCATAATTTCTTTAACGAATGAAAAAGCTTCTGATCGAGATCCGAACGCTGGGCGCACACCATCTTATACCGGTATTTTGTAAGTTTCTAAAAAAAAATTTTTTTTTTTTAATATTACCATTGATCATTACTATTGATATTTATTCAAAATTTTAGATTTTCTACATCAGGATTGCTGGTTAATTATATGTATTTATTTATTGGAACTCCTGGAACTCCAATTAACAAAGTTTGAAGCTTATAATAACATGGTTATTTTAGTAAGCTCATTCTAAGTGTGTGGTCTCAATGAGAATATCGTATTCTGAAAAATTGAGTAAAATTTTATACCTCTTTTTTATGACTATTGGTCATTTTATTAAGGCTAATACATAATATAATTAAAATATAATAAATAAAAAATTTTTTATATTAATTAGTAATCAAATAATATGTTTAATGTTTGATTATCTATTTTATAAAAAAATAAAAATTTGATTATATATACAGTATATATATATTTTAACAAGTTAAATATCAAAGTATTATATAAATCCTGGCCATGCCGATGACTATCTATAATCGCACACCCATATATCATTTTTTTTATTTGTATGTTATACTGTTGTTCCGACAACAATTTTTATTAAATAAAGAAGGGGGGTCTAGTGGCCTCGCCATTTTTTATTTTTACGCGATTTTTTACAATGGTTTATTAGTGAGATTCAGTATCAATGGAAAAAATCATTTAATATTAGTGAAATACACATGCAAAAGTAAAACACGATTATGTATGCGAAATTCGACCACTAGGGTCAGCTTTATTGATATGAAAATAAATATGAAATACAATAAAATTCTAAAAAATATCTTCTATTGCTCTATATAAAATAGACTTAGTTTTCATTATCACTAGTTACATTGGAACTTTTTCGCTTATTTCTTGGGGACCTGGTTTTTAATGAATGATGTAATAAAGATAGATTGACAATCAAGATGTTTCGTAGAAGTAAAAGTGCTTCTACAAAACGTAATACATTATTACCATTACATGGCCTTACTAGAGATGGGCAAAATAGTGTTTTTCTATACCATGCATGCACGCATGCATATTATATACAGTATATACAGTACTTACAAATTAATTTTTTTTTCAAATTTTAAGTAAAGATATCTTAATAACTACAAAACCAAATTTAATAAACTTTCTTTATTAAATTCTATATATTCATAGAATTCAAATAAAAAAAGTTCATCAAGTTTAGTTTAGTAGTTGCTGAAATATCTTTGCTTAAAGTTTTAAAAAAAATTTAAAATATTTACAAAATAGACTTTACAAAATTTTTTTCAAGTTTAAACAAAAATATCTTAGCAACTACAAAGCCAAATTTGATAAATATTTTTTTATTTGAATTTTATGAATCCATAGGATTCGACTAAAAAAAGATTTATTAAAATTGACTTAGTATTTGCTGAGATATCTTTGATTAAGGTTTCAAAAAAAATTAAATCATCTATCAAAATAAGCTATACAGAATTTTCTCTAAGCTTTGAGTAATGATATCTCAGCAACTACAAGGTCAAATTTAATGAACTTTTTTTTATTTAATTCTATAAATTCATAGAATTTAAATAAAAAATCATCAAATTTGACTAAGTAGTTGCTAAAATATCTTTATTCAAAGTTTTAAAAAAAATTTCAAAATATATCAAAACAAAAGCTGTATCAAAATTCTTTTTAACCTTTGAGAGAAGATATCTTGGCAACATAATGTCAAATTTAATAAACTTTTTTTATTTAAATTCTATAAATTCATAGAATTAAAATAAAAAAAATTATTAAATTTGGCTTTATAGTTGCCAAGGTATCTTCTCTCAAAGTTTAAAAAGAATTTTGGCAGCTTGAAAATTTTTTAAAGATATTTTAGCAACTACTTAGTCAAATTCTATGAATCTTTTTTATTTGAATTCTATGTATTTATAGAATTTAAATAAAAAAAGTTTATTGAATTTGACCTTGTTTATGCTGAGATGTCATTGCTCAAAGTTTAGAGAAAATTCTGTATAGCCTATTTTGATAGATATTTTAAATTTTTTTTAAAACTTTGAACAAAGATTTTTTAATATTAAGGTGACCACTTAGGCCCCTGGCACTTTATTAGTACAAGCGATAGGCCAATATTAATTTTAGCACTGGCTTTACATATTACATCAGTATCACGAGAGTACAACTAGTCACACATACAACTTTTGATTGCCTATTTAAGTA